CCCCATTGTATTTTCTGTGGGCTTTGGAACATCCCAATTTATTTGGGAGGGGGGTTGGAGCATCCCACTGTATTTTGTAAGGGAAGGGGATTGGAACATCTCCTTTAACAATGAAGTTGGAATGTCCCATTTTATTTTGAGGGGTGGGGCTTGGAACACCCCATTGTATTATTTGGAGGCAGGTTGGAATATCCCATTGTAGTTTGTAGGGGGAGGAGATTGGAAGGTACCAATTTATATTGGGTGATTGAGCAAAATTTTATTGCAGGGGATCAGTACCTCCCATTTTATTGGGAGGTTGGAAGGGGAATGGAGCATTCCACTGTATTTGGCCAGGGGCAGATGAGCAGAGTGGTGCGTTCCATTGTATTTTGTGGGGAAAGGGATGGGCCCAGTAGGTTGGGGTGTACCATGTCTTTTAGCCAATGCAGGTAAGAAGCATCCTGTATTTTTTGGGGGAAAATGTAAATTTCATGTATGTGGTAAGGACAGTAGCGGGGTTGTACCATGTATCACGTGGAGGGCAGAGTAGGAAGGTTAGGGTCATGCCATGTCATTTGTAGAAAAGGGGTGTGAAGTCTGGTGGGTTGGAACATACCAGGAGTTTGACAAGGAAAGGAGAGTTTCGAGGCTGGTAAGTGGGGGTCACTCCCTCACCCCCAGAAGCAAGGGAGGGTGGGACAGGCAGCAAAACTCCCATTGCCAGAACTCCCCACAGCGCCCCCTGCTGGGAAAGGCTGGGCTGGAGTAGCCAGGAGCTCCCCACACCCCACAGCGCCCCCTGCTGGGCGAGGCCGGGCTGGAGTAGCTGGCAGCTCCCCGCTCAGCCAGCCCCCCCAACCACACAATAAGCCAGCACTGGCCTCCCTGCTGTCTCCCGCCCCCGGGGGGCAGTGGGTGACTGATCCCGGCCTGACCTGCAGTGCCGGGCTGGGTTAGAGCTACAGCTGTGGCACGGGTATCTATCCAGGATGGAGCGGGATGGGGGACAGACCAGGTATTCCACACACCCACAAAAGCAAAGGAATTAGGCTCATTAAACATGGGTGTTGGTGCCTAGGTAATTAATTAAGAAGCAGGAGGGGACTCCGAGGAGCCCCCTCCCATGTCCCTCTCCCCTGCGCAGTCCAGGGTGTTACCCAGGTCTCTACTGCAGGGGAGTCAAATCTGAGAAGAAAGGGGTCAAAGGTCAGAGGCCACAAGGCAGAGAGCTCCCAAAGAGCGGAGAGGGGTCAAGGTCAGAGAGGCAGCAGGGGTGGGGCAGAGAGGCGGGGCGCCCCACCCCTGCTGTTTGGCACCTGGACGGGGCCGTGGGGCTCAGTCCTTGAAGACGGCTTGGTGGCCGTGGGGGCGCTCGTCGTGCATGATGTGGCGCCGGACATGGATGCGCCGGACGCGGTGCTCCCGCCCATCCTCTTCGTCAGCCCGGTGGGGGCCGCCCCCTCCTCCGGCCGCCCCGCCCGTCGCTTCCAGGAGCGCCTTGTCGGGGACCCGTGGGGTCTCGTAGATCAGAATGTTCAGGGTCTCCTCGAAGATCCGGGCCTCGGGGAACTCCACCTGTGGGGGTCAGAGGTCAGGCTGGTTACAAGCCACACCCCCCACAGCCTCAAAGAATCCCACCAGCAAGTGCCCATGTGGCCTTGGAAGCTACCAAGCACGGAGGTGGGGAGGGGGAGAGAAAAGTCACATGTTGTCTTGGAATATACCAAGTATAATGGGCTACCCATGGAAAATACCAAGAAAAACCACAGATGGGGGGAACCAGCTGGTGGCATTGGACATGTCCTAGGACCATACCAAGTGAGAGTATGATGCAGGGGGGGTACCCACATGGTGTTGGACCATATCAAGTGCGCATGTGACTGGAGAAGAGGGGACTGCTCTGATGGCATCAGATCATACCAAATGTGAAGGTGACAAGGGGTGCTGGATCATACCAAGAGTCCATGTGACAGCAGAGAGAGGGGGGCCACCCACACTGCCTCAGAACATACCATGTGCTGACATTATAAGAGAGATTCACGTATATCCTTGGAATAGACCAATGTGCTGCGGGGCAATTTTCTCATGGAATGTACTAAGTGCGAGGGCCCAGGGGTACCTTGGTCTGCTTCTTCTCGGTGGCGTAGACTATGGAGGTGCAGCAGACCTCGGCGATTTTGCGGCCCTGCCCATAGAAGGACCAGCAGCAGATCTCGTCCCCCAGCACGTCCTTGATGAAGAGGACCCGCCCGTTGAAGCGCAGCGCCAGCTTATCAAACAGCTCAATGTTCTTCAGCAGGTTATCGTCCGAGTTACTGCGGAGAAGAGACCTCGTGGGTGGGGAGGGCTCCCAGCTCCTCCAGCCCAGCAGGGGGTGGTCTGGGCAGTGGGGCAGGAGCACTGGGTTTAGGGGAGCTCCTGACTACTTCAGCCCTGGCCTCTCCCAGCCGGGGGTGCTGTGGGGAGGGGGAGGGGCGCGGGCTGGGGGGAACTCCCAACGACTCCAGCCCCAGCCTCTCCCAGCAGGGGGTGCTGTGGGGAGGGGGAGGGGCGCGGGCTTGGGGGAGCTCACTTCTACTCCAGCCCCGGCCTCTCCCAGCAGGGGGCGCTGCAGGGAGCAGGTCAGGAGCGTTGGATTACCTGGTATACGAATACTTGTTGTTACTTCTGTTATGCAACAATTTCACCACTGGCTGGAAAAAAACCGAGAGACAGGAAATGAGGCTGGAGTCATAGAAGTCGCTCAGCGTAACTTCGTGCCAAAGGGGAGGGAGAAGGCTGGGAGGTGTCAGCGCAGACGGTGATCCTGGGGGGGCTGGAAAGACCAATAAGGGAGGCCCTGCCCGCCTGTCTCACCTTGGAGCAGCTGGAGATGATCTGCTGCTCCTCCTTGGGGGATGTCACCATGGGAATGAGACACAGAGGATCATAGGCATCGCTCTTTTGCTAGGACGAAGAGATCAGCAAGGTCACTGCAGCCTCCTGTGACCCATGACTCCCTTAGTGACCCCATCCCCATGGCATAGCCTTGCCCCCAGGTATCCCTACGCCCACAGCAGGAGAATCCCAGAGCCCTCAGTGACCCCACCCCCACCGGGTCCCTACCTGCAGAGCGAGCTGGCAGTCCTCCACCAGGCCCTGGATGAGGTAGTACCGTGCCTCGGACAGCACCTCCTCCAGCTCCCGCTGCGACTCGGGGAGCGAGACAGAGCCATCCCGCAGGTAGTTGAGGATGGTGCCAAAGTGACGCCCGCTGCGGTCGATCAGGATCCAGCCTGAAGAGGGGAAGAGACAAAAGGATGTAGGGCCTCTCCCAGCAGAGGGGGGCTGGAGCCCTGGGTATGGAGAGAGCTCCGGGCTACTCCAGTCTTGGCCTCTCCCATCAGGGGTGCTGCAGAGAGCAGGGCAGGTACCTTCGCTGTCAGTGAGCACTTCCATTCTCCCGCTGAACATGGCCTTGAGCATGGTGTCCTGCTTGGTGAGGGTCTGCACCGTGGTGTAGTGCAGGGACCCCCCCACGTTCAACTTCACATACTTGCTGCTGGGATTCAAGGGCTTTAGGTCAAAGGTCACACCCACCGCTCCCCCCGTAGGCTGGTGCTGCATGGGCACCACAGGGGCGCAGGCCTCGGGGGCTGGGAGCGGGGCCGTTGTGGCCTCAGCCGACATCTCCACCTGCAGCAGGGAGGGACGGGAAAAGCGGAAGGGGATGAATCGGGATCCTCTCCCCATTATCCGGGCCCCCCTCCCCACTTACGCTCCCTGTGTCCAGCTTGGCTCACTTGACATTTGCCCCCGACCCCAGTTAGGCCACGTCTACACTAGCACTTATGTCACTCAAGGGTGTGAAAAGACACACCCCCCCCCCCCCCAGCGACGTAAATTGTGTCAGCATAAACGCTTGTCTGCCCAGCACTACATCAGCAGCAGACTCTGGCCCCCGACACAGGTACAGCGGCTTGTTGAGCGGCTTTTATTACGTCGCCGGGCGAGCTCTCACGCGTCTTCGGCGTAACGCAGCCCCACGTGCGCTCCCACAGCCGCGCGGCTGCCAGTGCAGCTGTGCTGCTGGAAGAGTGTAAGTGTAGACATGGCCTTACCTGGGTGCACACCCCTCCCCCCGCAGAATCAGCCCCTCTGGTCAGGGGCTGACCCCTAGCCCTAGGAGATCTCTGCCCTTTGACCCCCACGATCACCCCCTCCCCGCCCTTTGACCCCCACCCCCTGCCCACGGCCCCGCCCCTCCTTTTGACTCACAACCCCGCCCCCTCTTCGCCCCTTGACCCCTCTGGCCAGAGCACTGCCCCCTCCCTGCCCTTTGACCCCTGGCTCGCGCCGCCACTCTCACCTGCCCTGCCCGCCCCGTGCGGGGGGTGGGGCGAGGCCCGGCCCCTCCCTGCTCCCCCCCCCCAGCTCCCAGCGCCGCCCGCCAGGCCAGTTCCCCGCCGCACTCAGCCAGAGAGACCCGCACCGCGCATGCGTGCCGGGCCTGGCATGTTCATCCGGGTACCCGTCCGCGCCCCGCCCCCTGGAAGGAAGGTCCATTGACTCGCATGCGCAGAGGGAAGACGGGGCTGCGGCAAAGGCAGCGTTTCCGAGTCGGCGCATGCGCAGAACAATTAACTGGGCGGTAGGGGAAAGGAGGGGGGAGGTCTCCGGGCGTGAAGCTCCTCCGGCCGCGCATGTGCAGAACGCAAAGCTAGGGGGCTGAAGCACGGGAGCGCGCGCATGCGCATAGCATCATCAGGCCTTCGAGAGAATGGTGCGCATGCTCATAACGCAGGGGAGAAGGCGGGGAAACCGTATCAGTGGGCGCATGCGCATAACGCAAGTGGGTTGCCTCTTGGAAAGCGTCCAGAGTCTCGTACGGCGCATGCGCATTCTGTTCCCAGCGGTCCGCGAACGTTAGGACCGTTGCCCACGTGTAGCGCGCGCTTTTCAAATGCGGTCGAGGCTGGGGGCAGGTCGGGCGAGGGAACAAAATGGCGGCCAAAGGCTCATGCTGAGGGGAAGGGAGGCAGCTCCCAGCGCCCCTCTATCAGAGTGACCCCCAGGCCCAGGCCGGCCGCCACCACACGCTGACCCGGCCCGGGGCAGAGAGAGAGAGACGCCGGCCCGGCCCGGCCCAGGGCAGAGAGAGAGAGAGACGCTGGCCCGGCCCGGGGCAGAGAGAGAGAGAGAGACGCCGGCCCGGCCCGGGGCAGAGAGAGAGAGACGCCGGCCCGGGGTAGAGAGAGAGAGATGCTGGCCTGGCCCGGCGGAGAGAGAGACGCCGGCCTGGCCCGGCCCGGGGCAGAGAGAGAGACGCTGGCCCGGCCCGGGGCAGAGAGAGATGCTGGCCCAAGGGAGAGAGACGCTGGCCTGGCCCGGCCTGGGGGAGAGAGATGCCGGCCTGAGGGAGAGAGACCCAGAGGACAGACACTGAAGGGAGAGACGGTGCCAAGCCCAGCGCTGCCAAGGGAAGAGATGCTGCCCGGCACCGCCACCATCCCCCTGTGTCCAGTCATGGGGGAGACACCAACAGGGCATTATGGCCCTGCCCAGTCAGGGTAGAGATTTCAGCCCGGCGGCACTACCAATAGCTTCCCTGCCCATTGAGGAAATAGATGCCAACTGGGTGTCAATGCCCCTGCCCAGCAAGGAGAGGGATGCCAGCCAGCTGCTATCAGCAGCTCCCACATCCAGCGAGGGGAGAGATGCCAGCCCACCACCATCTTCAGTGACCAATCAGGGGCAGATGCCAACATGGTATCATCTCTGTTGTCCAATGAGAGGACAGAGGCTAAACACAGCTCTATCCTGGGCGACCAACGAGAGGATAGATGTGGTACTGCCCTGGTGGCCCAATAAGAGGACAGGTGCTAACACACTGCCATTCTGGGTGACCAGTCAGGACAGACGCCCATGTAGAGTTGCCATTGTCAGTCGGCCTCTGTTCCAAGTGCTCAAGACAGGAAGAGACACCGACCGACGGAAGACACACCAGTGCTGAGCTGCTCCAGGCACCTATTGAGGAGATGGATCACAACACCAAGATATCCCACATAGTTACTGAGGTAACAGATGCCAACCCAGTGGCATCCTGGGCCAGTCAAGGGACAGACGCCATCATGGTGCCACCACCACCACCATCCTGGGCAACCAGTCAGGGGGGATGTCAATTGATCAATGGGAGGAGCGACACCAAGCTAATGTCATCCTGGGTGAGCAGTCAGGGGAAGACAATAATATGGTGCAACCTCAGTTGCCCAATTAGAGGGCAGAGGCTAACACAGAACAATCCGTGACAGATGCCAACATTGTTGCCAGCACAGAGGGCCCGAGGGGGCAACAGCGGGGTTCGTTGCCCGGTGTGCTTCGCGCCAATGAACACACCAGGGTGGAGAAGCAGACAAAATTTATTCAAGACCTCTGAATAGGCACTAGGAGACCAGCATGTCTCAAATCAAGCGCACTGAGACAAGCAGTTTTTCCCTTTTTATTCTTTTTTTTCCCCTTTCCTACCTCCCCCACTTCCTCCCTCTGTAGTAGTTACATTAAGCAGTAGAAATTACATTTAAGCAGTTATGTCATCTTGGCGGCTATAAGTCTAGCTCGTTAGTAACTCTTCAAGAACCGTTATCTTGTCCTTTTCCCTTTGATCTGTTATCTTGCCTTTCAGCCAGAAGCATGCAGACCTTATTACTACCGCTTCCCAGCTGCTGGCCTGTGAGGTTAGTAAAGTTTAACATGCAGGGGCTTTGGTTCACTTTGGCCTAGAGCGGGGGGGCTTCATCGACTCTCGTGGTCTTCCACTCCCCCCCCCCCCCCCCGCCTTAGGGTGGTGCCTAGTGACACCAACAACATGGTACTGCCCTGGTCAGCCAATGAGAGGACAGACGCCAATACAGTGCTGTCCTGGGCGACCAATCGGGCAGATACCAGCGGGGTACCGCCCAGTCGCCCAATGAGAGGACAGACGCCAACACAGTGCTGTCCTGGGCGAGCACTCGGGGGCAGGTGCCCGGTCGCGCGAGGTGGAGGTGGATGCTGCGGCGGCTCCCCAGGGCGAGCAGTCGGGGGCAGGCGCCCGAGGAGGAGGAGGTGGTAGACGCTGTGGTGGCTCCCCAGGGCGAGCAGTTGGGGGCAGGTGCCAGTGGACGGAGCCCGGTCGCGTGAGGAGGAGGCGGCGGACGCGGCGGGGCCCCGGGCGAGCCGTCGGGGGCAGGCGCCAGTGGACGGAGCCCAGTTGCGCGAGGAGGAGGCGGCGGGGCCCCGGGCGAGCCATCGGGGGCAGGCGCCAGTGGACGGAGCCCGGTCGCGCGAGGAGGAGGCGGCGGCGGCGGGGCCCCGGGCGAGCCATCGGGGGCAGGCGCCAGTGGACGGAGCCTGGTCGCGCGGGGAGGAGGCGGCGGCGGGGCCCCGGGCGAGCAGTTGGGGGCAGGCGCCAGTGGACGGAGCCCGGTCGTGCGAGAAGGAGGCGTTGGGGGCACGGCCGGGCACAGCACAGTCGGGGGGAGGGATAGCTCAGTGGTTTGAGCATTGGGCTGCTAACCCCAGGGTTGGGAGTTCAGTCCTTGAGGGGGCCATTTAGGGAGCAGGGGGCTGGACTAGAACCTCCTGAGGCCCGGCCCCGCCCCGCTAGTCTAGGAGCCCGCGGGCTCTGTGCTTGAGGCGGGGAAGAGGAGCGAGTCATGTGACCATATTGGTGCGGAGGGGCGGGGTCAAAGACTCCTCCGTGGGAGGACAATAAAGGTCACATGACTTCGGGCCGCTCACGTGACGGTGGGTGGGCAGGCTGGGTTGGGCGGCCGGGTCATGTGGCTGGGTCCTGGCGCGGCGCCGGTGGTCATGTGACGCAGTGAGGGGGGGTTCCG